CCAAGGCTTCTAGCGGAGAGTTCAACTTCCAGAAATTCAATGCAGGCGACTATGAGAGTGCAGTTGCGGAGCAGCAACGCGCCGAAACCATCTCAGCAGTGCTATACCCTAACGACAGCCTGGACCGCGGTAAGGAGCTCAGACTGAAGCAGCAGTACTTCTGGTGTGCAGCCTCCTTGTTCGACATTATTCGAAGATTCAAGAAGACAAAGAGATCCTGGAGCGAGTTTCCCGACCAAGTTGCCATCCAGCTCAATGACACACATCCGACTTTGGCTGTTGTCGAGCTGCAGCGCATCCTGATTGACCAGGAGGGCTTGGAGTGGGACGAGGCCTGGGGTATCGTCACCAAGACATTCGGTTACACAAACCACACCGTCCTACCGGAGGCTCTGGAGAAATGGTCTGTTCCCCTGGTGCAGAGCCTTTTGCCACGGCACATGCAGATCATCTTCGATATCAACCTGTATTTCTTGCAGTTTGTGGAGAAGAATTTCCCGGAGGACAGAGAAATGCTGTCTCGGGTGTCGATCATCGAAGAGTCCCACCCTAAGATGGTGAGGATGGCATATATTGCTATTATCGGATCCCACAAAGTGAACGGAGTCGCAGAACTGCATTCAGACCTTCTGCGAACGACTCTATTCAAGGACTTTGTGACCATCTATGGCCCTGACAAGTTCACCAATGTCACTAATGGCGTCACTCCGCGTCGTTGGCTGCACCAGGCAAATCCTCGCCTCTCTGACCTGATAGCTTCTAGATTGGGAGGCTACGATTTCTTGACCGATTTGACCCTTTTGGACCAACTGGAGGCATTTGCCGATGACAAGGCCTTCCAGAAAGAGTGGGAAGAGATCAAGACTGCCAACAAGCTCCGTCTGGCAAAGCACATCAAGGAGACAACCGGGTACAGCGTGAACCCGAACGCATTGTTCGACATCCAGGTCAAGCGTATCCACGAGTACAAACGACAGCAGCTCAACATCTTTGGAGTCATTCACCGATACCTGAAGATCAAGTCCATGTCCGCCGAGGAAAAGAAGAAGGTGTTGCCACGCGTATCGATCTTTGGTGGTAAGGCCGCTCCGGGCTACTGGATGGCCAAGACCGTCATCCACCTAATCAACAAGGTCGCCTCGGTTGTCAACGAAGATCCCGACGTTGGCGACCTTCTGAAAGTCATTTTCGTGGCCGATTACAATGTCAGCAAGGCCGAGATCATCTGTCCTGCCTCGGACATCAGCGAGCACATCTCGACGGCGGGTACGGAAGGAAGTGGAACTAGTAACATGAAATTCGTCATGAACGGCGGTTTGATCATTGGTACCTGCGACGGAGCTAATGTATGGAAACCATCCCTTGTATTCTTTTACGGTGGCAATGACAAGGATGATGATGATGCTAACTCTGGGTGCAGATTGAGATCACGCGGGAAATCGGCGAGCAGAACATCTTCCTGTTCGGCAACCTCGCTGAGGATGTCGAGGAGCTCCGGCACCGGCACCTCTACGGCAACTTCCAGCTGGACCCCCACTTGGCCAAGGTCTTTGAGGCGATCCGCGGCGGAATGTTCGGGGACGTGAACAGCTTCTCGGCGCTGCTGGCCTCGATCGTCGAGCACGGCGACTACTACCTGGTTTCGGACGATTTCAACTCGTACATCACCACGCAGGACCTGGTGGACGAGTCCTTCCGCAACCGCGAGGAATGGCTCTCCAAGTCCATCATCAGCGTGGCGCGCATGGGCTTCTTCTCAACCGACCGGGTCATCAGCGAGTATGCCGAGAGTATCTGGAACATTGAGCCGCTTGTTGTCAAGGATTAATTCGTGACAAAACTTCACGGCCTCGATCTGGGTTGAGTGAGTGAAATAGGGCGGGGGAGGAGGCGGGGGTTCAAAGGGAGCGAGGAACGAGAGCTTCTTCTGTATGTGCTTATCTTTTTTGCTCCTTGCATAGTTGTCTTGTCAATACCGCTGCGCCTGTTTTCTATTCATGAGCTTTACTTCCATCGATTCCATTCCTTTATGTAGATCTTGGTTCAAGACACGTATCTTTGGCATAATTCCTACATGATCGATCGATGCTATCAACAAGATTTAAGCACGTAAGGGAGATTGGTGTAGAAGAGGCTGCAGAGGTAAAGTCAGGCAAGGGGAAAGAAAATCGACCAGAGAAAACTCTATAACGACATTCCGTATATATAAACGCCCCCTCCTCAATCCCTCAGGCGGTTAGCTCGGCCATGCGCTTCTGCAGTTCCGGAACGGCTCGGAGATGAAGTTCCAGGTCTTCTTTCTCACTGTTTCACATATGATGATTAGTTTAGATCTTTGGGAATGATGGGGGGATAGGGCAAACATACTCCTCCAACTTCAACCGGCGCTCCCAATCCAGCTTGGTGAAGATGTAGCCGCCCTGGCCGTCGAACTGCAGGATGCGACGGTGGTACTTCCAGAGACTGCGGCGGTGGGAGACGGTCATGAGGGTGATGCCCAGACGCTTGGCGGTCTCGTACATGATGCGCTCGACCTCGAGGGTGACGGAGGAGGTGCACTCGTCGAGGATGGCGTACTGGGGCCTATGGTAGAAGAGGCGGGCCATGGCGATGCGCTGCTGCAGCCCGCCGGAGAGGACGTCGCGCCACTCCTCCTCGGCGTCCCAGCCGCCGGGGCGGTCGACCACGCCCGCGATCTCGACGACCGCCAGGATGGCGTGCAGGTCCTCGTCCGTAACGCCCTTGGCCCGCATGTCGCGCAGGCTGTCCGGGTAGATCACCTGCTGCCGCAGCGTGCCCCGCGACAGGTACGGCCGCTGCGGGATGTAGAAGATCTGGTCCGGCGGGGGTTTGCGCACCGTGCCGCCGTACACGGGCCACAGGCCGCCCAGGATGCGGAACAGCGAGGATTTCCCGCACCCGTTGGGCCCGACGATCAGCAGGTGATCCCCGGGTCGTACGGCGAAGGAAAGCGCCCGCACCAGGATGTCCCCGTTGGGGGAGACGATGGGTACGTCGCGGAATTCGATCGCGTCTGCGGTTTCGGTGACGGTGCCGCGGGAGGCTAGGGTCGCAGCGTGCGCTGAGGTCGAGTCCGTCGCGGATGAGACCAGTTTCTTCTCGAAGTGGCCCGATTGCAGGTCGTCCATGACCTCGAGGAGGGTCGAGACGCGGGCGGTGTGGCCGGCCAGCTCGGAGATTTCCTTGTAGGAGAACATGAGGCGGCCGAAGGCGTCGGAGGAGGAGAGGAGCATGCGGCGGTTGGTGACGAAGCCTGTTGGTCCGGATGTGTTAGATGGTTCTACGTAATCGGTTACGGGGATCTGGAGGAGGCAGGCTTACTTTCGGTCCGATCACCCATGGTCTGAGTGACTTGGCCGGGGATCTTGAAGAAAACGGGAATGCTGCACAGGATCAGGCCCAGAGCGCCCCAAAAGTACTTAATTACGAAATCTTCCATGAAGCCGTGGTAGAGCCGTCTCCGCAGGATGCGGTTCACGTGCTTGATTAGGGTGAAATAGCCCTTGTCGAGAGTGTCCTTCTCGGCTTCGTGGCCGTGGTAGAGCGCGATCTCCTCGCTGTAGTCAATCAGGCGTGAGTGAAGGAACCGGAACTCTCCTTCGAGACGAGCTTCGTCGGCCACATATTTCCCGAAGGGCGGCGTCAAAGCCCGCATGACGTTGGCCGAGACCTGCACCAGCAGACCCATGAGGAAGAGTCCCTCGCCGCCGACGCTCTTGGACAGCGAGTAGTTATAGATGGCCATGTCGAGGACGGGCTTGGCCAGGTTCGAGTAAAGCTCCGCCAGACTATCGGAGAAGCGGGACACGTCGACCGTGATAAGCTGGTCCGGATTCTTGACCCGATCGTCCAGGGCGGAGATGGCGTAGAAGGTCATATTCGAGAGGTATTTCTCGTGGATGTAGTCCGTGAGACGCTTGCGATAACTCAGGGCTAATTTGCATTGGTGGTATGACAGCTGGCGATGAGGTCAGTGAGTGGTCCTTTTCCTTTGTCTAGGCATCAATCATGACTGCACTCACCATCGAGTTCGTGAACGTTGCTGGCACCGCGACCATCATCCACCACACCAACCCCAACAAGAAGTCCTTCCCCTTACCCCTCACGAGATTGCTCACCAACCGCCCGTCCAGCTCGGCGACATACAGACTCAGCAATGTTCTCAGCACCAGAAACACACTGTGGCCGAACAACAACCGCAGCTCCTTACTCCTCCACCCCGGGATCACGATCTTGAGCAGCCGCAGCAGATTCCGGAAAAACTCGCGGTTCACCTCGACTTTCTTGCGCGGGATATCGCCGCTGCCGCTGCCACTGCCGTTGGCGTTGGCGCTGTCGCCTAGACTGCTGGTCCCGGGCCGCTTGCTCCGCATCTCCGCCTGTTGCTGGGAGGCGGCTTTCTGCTCGGAGATGGCATTGTGGATGCGTTTGGCGAGGGCAGCGAAGAGGGCTAAATAGACGGTTCGAGAGATCTGCTTGCGGTGGCGGAGGTAGAGGGAGGTGAATTTGGAGAGGAGTGGGCGTAAGGGGAGGGACCAGCGCTCGGACGGCAAGGAGAGGAGCTTGGACTGGACGGCCATGGCGGCGGCTGGGAAGTAGGTAGATAAATCAGTTATCTACCGTAGCTAGCCAGGGTTGACAACGATAAGGGAAGCATGACACCGGATGGAGAGAAGAATGAGGGAAATGAGATTATGGTAGTAGGTAAGAAAGTGGGGTGAAGTTCTAGTGAGGAGAAGAGAAGAAGAAGAAGAAGAAGAAGAAGAAGAAGAAGAAGAAGAAGAAGAAGGAATTGTAGGCAAGGTTGGTTGTTGTCATGACATGTGAAAGGCCCGAATCAAGCGTGAGCGGGTCTTCTTGCCCCGGATTTCTCTGGGCCGAGGATGGGGTTCGGTCCGACTCTACTTCCGAGAACTACTATAAGTTAACCTGGATACCTTATTGTTTCAACAACTATATATCTTCATCAAGTTTCAGTTCTTAAGTTGAATTCATCATAATGTGGAAGTCATTGACCTTGTCCAGATCTCGGGCCCGCTCGCCGGCCATGCGCTCCATGAAGTCTCGGGGAGTTGTTGCTGCTGTTGATTCTTTCGTGACCCCTGGCTTGTTGGGGGATCCTCTTGCTGCGGCTCCTTGTGTCGACCAGCGGTCTTGTCTAGTTGACGGGCTTTTTTCTATAGAGAACTGATGATATATGACCGACTATTGAGCCCTGAGGATCAAAGTCGGTCGAGAGGGCCGTAGCGTCGTGAATGCCATTCGCGGAAGATTCCGATCAAGGCCGTCTAGGCGAGAAACTTCTGGAGGGCATCAATTGTACCCTCGATATCTTTGCATAAATCCTGCAAGATTATGGTCAGTCTCTTCTCTTCTCATTTTCAATTACGGATTTGACAGAGCAAGTTCAAAGGCCCAACGAGGGAGAAACCGAGAACAAAAGGAAGGGTCATCTTACCGAATCGCTGCTGAACGTGATTTTGCCAACCACATCGAAAGCATAACACTGAAGCCTGAAGCTGATGATGCAGGTCAAAGCTCTGTCCGCTTTCAGCCAGTTCATGTAAGCAGGCGCCAAGTACAAATATCGGCGCAGCAATCCACGAAACCCCCATGATGCGGCAGTGAACTCACCGCAGTCAACTCTACACTATAGGGGGCCCCAAATCGACACCGCTCCCAACTAATCCCGAGCCCAGCAATCCAATCTAATCTGATGACGCCTCTGGGAGGTGTGAAGAAGGATTGATTCTCCTACGTGAGGCTATCTCGGAGGAACTAGCTAAGGCAGCCGGGTGGGCGGTGAGCTGGCACCTCAGGCACCAAGGCCCAAGGCCCTTGTCATAATCATCCTTCCCCCGAACCCACTGTCAGCACTAAATGCTTGGTGCCATACAGCCCAGATTTTCTCCCAACAGGGACAAAGGGGGCAGCTTTCCCTGTGATTGATGGTGAGTTTGCGGCAGTGAGCTTACCCAAGGCCGAGCTAAAGGAAGGTCTAGATACTATTTGCCTAGGTTGACTAACTGCTGTGGGTAACTAAACTAGGTCTGTGGGCTCAAGAACACGGCTCATGCCAATAATCAAATCATAAATAGCAACCCCCCCCCCCCTTCCTCATTCTTTCGAATGTGATTCTTATTCTTATCTTCATCCTCAATTCGGTCCTCTTTCTTCCTCTCGTGTATTTTCTTACCAGTGCCATCAGTACCATCATTATTGCCAGCGTCTTCATCAATAAACCAACCATGGCTACGTACGACTACATTATCGTGGGTGGTGGTCTCACCGGCTCGGCCCTGGCCGGTCGCCTTGCTGAGCAACACCCCTCGCGTACGATTCTTCTTCTAGAAGCCGGTTCGAATGTTGTTGGTCATCCTTTGACCAGCGCACCGCTTGCTTGCTTTGGTGCTCACCTCTCCCCACTAGACTGGGCCTATCAAACTATACCCCAGCGCCACCTAGACGGCCGGCAGTGCTATAATGCTGCTGGGAAAGCCTTAGGCGGTGGCACCGCCACTAACTATGGAACCTGGACTCGTGGAAACGCGGCTGACTACAACCTTTGGGCACAGCTGGTCAACGATGAGAGTTGGAGCTATAAGGGCCTTCTTCCTTACTTTAAGCGTTCGGAGACGCACTGGGACCCCAACGCTGATCCCACCATCCATGGCCAATCAGGTCCGATCCATAACGCCACTGTTGCCTCCAGTAGCCTTGACCGCAAATATCCCCTCCGTGACCCCCTGCGCGCCGCATGGAGCCGTTTGGGTGTAGAGCCCATTGCTGACGGCAATGCTGGTCACCCGCTAGGATTGGCTGCGCTGACCGAAAATTGGCACGATGGCCAACGCCAGCTTGCCAGTGAGGCCTACCAGGTCCTCCAGAAGTCCAACATCACCATTCGAACCGAGACCTTGGTCAAGCGGATCTTACTGGCTGAAAAAGACGGCAACAACAACAAGCTCGCAACCGGTGTTGAGCTCCCCGACGGGACCACCTTCCACGCTGCACAGGAAGTGGTCATCTCCGCCGGTGCCTATCGGACCCCTCAAGTGTTGATGCTATCGGGCATAGGGCCCCGCGAAGAGCTAACCAAACATCGCATTCCCGTCCAGGTAGACGCACCCGAGGTGGGACGCAATTTTCACGACCATTTCTCTCTGAACCAGTGGTGGAAGCTGCGACACCCTGAAAAGGGCCTGTCCATTGGAACCCCCCTCTGGCAGAAGCCGGCCTATGGGTTAGGGCTTCCCTGTGACTGGGTCGCAACGGTGCAGCCGACGCCGCGGGCGGAGTTGATGCGAGCCTTGCAGGCGGATGGAATCAGTGCGGCCGAGATCGAGAACCATCCCTACCTTGCGCCCGATTTCTGTCACGTTGAGACCTTGGTCGTGTACGCGCCCGCAGGGGCGGCGGTAGCCGGCGTTGACGTCCCCATGGATGGCACCCACATCGCCTCCGCGGTCCTGGGGGTGGTCCCCACCTCGCGCGGCAGCATCACCCTGGCCTCGGCTGATCCGCATGCCGCGCCCCTGGTCGATCCCAATTACTACGGTACCGAGGTGGATCGTGCCATCCTGCGGGCGGCCATCCGCCAGGTGACGCGTTTGCTTCGTGACACGCCGGAGGGACAGGAGATGGTGGTCGAAGAAGTCCCGCGGCCGGGCCTGGGACCTCTGAGCGCCACCTCGACCGATGCGGAAATTGACGAGGTCGTCAAGCGCGGCGGAGCCACCTTCTATCATCCAGCAGGCTCCGCAGCGATGGGCAAAGTGGTCGATACCCAGCTGCGGGTATATGGAGTCGAGAGATTGCGGGTGGTCGATGCCAGCGTCTTGCCCTTGTCCTTGGCCGGTCATTATCAGGCCGTGCTCTATGCGCTAGCCGAGAAGGCCGCGGATCTGATCGGCAACGCGTAGGCTTATTTTGAGTACCCTATGGATTTCTAGAAGCTGACAGCAGAGAAATATATCCACATGGTGTCATGATTTAGCCATGGTTTCGTTCTTTTTTTTGTTATTTTTTATTTTCAATGAGCATAATCTATCTCATGTCAATTCGCCCCCCGCCCCCCTTAAACTGAGTTGTGCACGTAGACTACAGAGTTCGATTGTGCTTCACATTCCTAAGTCGACTTGGAAACGTTTGTAAAACGCCTAGGTAGTCTTCATGGGTCCCTTGTTTTCTTCCCTTCGAAAGGGGGCGAACCCCAGTCAAAAGAAGTTTGCTATATCCCGCGAAGGGTTTGTTTCACAGAGGCTTGGTCTAACGGGGATCTACAGAAGCAAACAATTCGACTGAACCACTGGAGATCATGCTTGTAGGCAGCTGGGCACCGGGCAGTGCTTGTGTTGGTCCTAGTTCTGTACAGTACATTACCTGGAACCTCCCAAACAACCGTCCACATCGGGAAGGCGGAACAGCAGCAGCTGCCGCGGGCCGTGGACCGTGGATGAGCTTCGGAGCCTTTTACCTCCCCCTCAACAAGCACTTGATAACAACAGTTTATTAAACTACAATACAACAATACAAAAGGATGCTCGTCAGCACAAGGCACAGCCAAACGGATCATGCTCTCTTCAACTTTCTCACTCTTCATTTCTTTGCTCTATCATGGCCCATCATGATTCAGTCAACCTTGTTCACTTCGGAGATCAGACTGCCAACCTAGATTCCTCCCTGCGAGCGCTGCTTCGCTCAGCCAAGCGCTTGCCCGACCTCGAACAGTTTCTACGACACAGTACCGAAGTCCTCCAAACTGGAGTCCGGACCTTACCCGTGACCAGTCAGGCGGAATGGGCATGTCGAACTTGAGGAGACTTTCTCCTCGCCGTAGAGGCCTCGGTGGATGAGCACAGGCCCGCAATCGTCACCGTGCTCCTCACTATCTGTCAACTAGGGTATCTATATGTGTAAGTGTGACGACAGAAGAGATACAGTATGTCGACGAAGTAAGCTAACATACAGTGAAACTTTACTTGAAGATATTTGGAACAGCAGCTGCCGGACTTCCTCCAATCTGCAAAGCGGATAATGGTGGGCCTGTGTACGGGGATGCTCCCAGCAGCGACAGCAGCATGCATCACCAATGCATCGGACGTCCTGAGGATCGGACCTGAGATCACTCGCATAGCTTTTCGATTGGGACTTTACGTCAGTCGTTGCTCACATGCCCTCACAGTTGTTCAAGGCAGCTGGGCAGTGTCCGTCTCTGGCGTCACCGAAGAACAGCTACGGGGTGCCCTACAACAGTTTAATGAGACTTGTGTAGGCAATCAACACCAGAAGAAACAAGTTGAGAAGAGCCTCAGAGCGTCAGCTGATCAAGCCAACAGACTGCTTCTCCAATGCTACAACCCTACATCAGTGTCATCGCCAACTCGTCGTTTACTGTCGCCGGTCCGCCTTCTTCGCTGCAGGGCTTTGCAGACTTCATGCATGACTATATGCCTCGCGCTCGCATAATTTCAATTCCCATCTTCGCCGCGTACCATTCTAGCCTTATTTATCCGGCCATTCCTGATTCAATTATTGGGAACTCTTCTCTTCTAGATCAGCCGCGAAACCCCAAATCATCTCTCATCTCCACCCACACTGGCCTTACAGTGCACGACGCTCTGACGCTGCGTAACTGCCTACACATCGCCGTGCTTGACATTCTGCAACACCTAGTGCATCTAGTGACCGTGCTGAAAAGTCTCAGGACTCAAATCCGGACAGACACATCTCTCACGGTGCTGGGTCCGTCTAACGCAGTGCATGCCCTAGAGCATACGTTGAACCCAACCCAGACCCACCATGTCCAGGTACCACAATTGGAACATCGCGGTGGCTTCGCGATCATTGGTATGGCGGGACGATTTCCTGGCGCCGATAGCTTAAACACGTTCTGGGAGATCCTCGAAAAAGGACTGGACCTCCATCGACTGGTACAGCTCACTATGCATCCTGCTATTCTGGAAGCTAGAACAATACTGATACACCTCAGATTCCTGCCAATCGCGTCAGTACTGAAACCCATTATGATATCACTGGTCGGATCCCTAACACTACTCTTACCCCTTACGGGTGCTTCCTAGATAACACAGATTTGTTTGACGCTCGTCTATTCAACCTTTCTGCCAAGGAGGCGGCGGCAATGGATCCCTCCCAGCGGCTACTTCTGATGACGACGTATGAGGCGCTCCAAATGGCCGGATATTCCCCCGGCCGCGGATCCTCGGCCCGCGCTCATCGCGTGGGCACCTTTGTCGGTCAGACCAGTGATGATTATCGCGAAACCAACGCAGGCCAGGATGTGGGGATCTTCTGGACTCCCGGCATCATGCGCGCATTCGGTCCGGGACGACTTAATTACCATTTCGGGTGGGATGGCCCAAGCTATAGTGTCGACACCGCGTGTTCATCTAGTATGGCGGCGATAGAGATTGCCGCGATGGCCCTGAAAAACAATGAGTGCGACATGGCTGTCGCAGGGGGCGTGAACATGATGACCTCCTCTGACCCCTTCGCGGGGTTGAGTCGTGGCCGGTTCTTGTCCCCCACCGGGTCGTGCAAAACGTGGGACGCCGCTGCTGACGGCTATTGCCGTGGGGAGGGAGTCGGTACGTATAATAGTTTCTATTCATATCTGCTCTACCTCTGACCTTGTCTTTTCTAGGTGTGCTGGTGATGAAGCGCTTGGAAGACGCGATTCGCAACCGAGATCCTATTCAAGCTGTGATTCGGGGAATATCGACCAATCATTCCGCTGATGCCATTTCTATCACCCATCCCCATGCTCCCACACAAGAACGATTGTTCACTACGGTTTCTGAGGAAGCCGATGTGGAGCCGACTGAGGTGGATTATGTGGAGATGCATGGAACAGGAACCCAGGCTAGGGACGTGGCAGAAACCTCAGCGGTTGCTCGGGCATTTTCTTCACGCTCGAGAGACAGCTCGCCCTTGTATCTCGGAGCTGTCAAATCGAATATTGGCCATGGCGAGTCTGCGTCCGGAGTAGCATCAATCATCAAGTCTGTGCTGATGTTTCAAAAATCGATCATCCCGCCGCATGTGGGAATCAAGAATGTCATCAACCCAAACATTCCCGCCGAGCAGTTTCGCGCTCTCAACATCCAGATTCCCAGGATAAAGATGCCCTTCCTTGCCGGCGCCAGGCCGCGGAAGATTTTGGTGAATAATTTCAACGCAGCTGGTGGAAACACGACTCTACTATTAGAAGAACACACGGCAGAACAAGCCGAAACCGGCGGTGGCCTGACACAAGAGCATCGCTCTTCCCAGATTGTGACGGTGTCAGCAAAGACACCGCATGCTCTTAGAGGGAACATGGACCGTCTGATTCAGTTCTTGCAAGAACACCCCAATACCAGTATATCAGACCTAGCCTACTCGACGACCGCTCGTCAAATGCATCATCCACATCGAAAAGCGTACACCGTTTCCACCGTTCAACAGCTCGTCTCTTTACTGAGCGAGCCTCTTGATGAGACTTTGACTGCTGCCCAACAAGCCCCGGGTGCCGTCTTTCTTTTCGCTGGCCAAGGGCCACTCTACCAGGGTATGGGTCAGCAGCTCATGTACAGCAGCAAGCACTTCTTTGACAAGATCCAGGAGATCGACCAGATGTGTCACAGTTCAGGCCTGCCGTCCATTCTGCCGTGTCTATCAGATACCCATCTCGATTTTACCCAGACAAGCACTGTTCAGGAACAACTAGTCACTTTCGCCGTGGGTATTGCCCTCGCCAGTCTCTGGCGTTCTTGGGGGGTCACTCCGCGGCTTGTCTGCGGGCATAGTCTGGGCACATATGCAGCCCTGTGCATTGCTGGTGTGCTTAGCTTACACGACTCGCTTTACTTGGTCGGGCAACGGGCTAGGCTTATAGAGAAATACTGCAAGCGAGGAAGCCACGCAATGATGGTGATAAAAGTCTCTGCGGAAGAAGTTGAGAATCTTCTGCTAGTCGGGACCTTCTCCTCTTGCGAGGTTTCATGTTACAACAGCCCCAACTCTACAGTCGTAGGTGGCACCGTCGAGGATATCAGCTCCTTAGCCAGTTTTCTGAGCGCCAGCGACATCCACCACGAAATTTTGCGGGTCCCCTATGCCTTTCATTCGGCGCAACTCGACCAATGCCTACAGTCCTTTGAAGCTCTGGCTCGACAGGTTCGGTTCAATCGACCCGCTGTTCCTGTTGCATCAACTTGTTTGGGCGTTGTCGTATCCGAGCCGGGTGTTTTCTGCGCAGAATATTTGAGCCGACAGGCTCGACAACTGGTTCTCTTTGGTCAGGCTATCCAAGCAATCATTTCGCGGGGCGACTACAATGAGAAATCAACGTTCTGGGTAGATATCGGCGCGCGTCCGTTTTGCGCGCCCATGACCAAGTCGATCCTAGGAAAGCAGTCCGTGCCGTCACTTCTGTCGATGACTCCCAATCAAAGCGACTGGCTCACACTCTCTCAGAGTGTCGCAAGGGCCTACAGTGCTGGTTTCGAGATCGACTGGGATGCGATACATCGAGAGCTCGAGACGCGCTTAAAATTTCTGCCGTTGCCGCCCTATTCTTTTGACCTCAAAAGTTATTGGCTGCAATACAGAGGGGACTGGTTGATCACCAAACACAGCCCTACTCATGGGCTGAAGTCTGCTTGGAGATCATTCGAGCCTACGTCCACGATACAAAGAATTGAAAAAGAAGAGCTCGTGGCGGGCGGGGGAACGATTTCATTTGTTTCCGACCTGAATGACCCAATTCTGCGAGCCGTGGTTACTGGACACCTAGTCAGACAAGTGGCCCTGTGTCCCAGCCCTGTCTACGCTGATATGGCGCTCACGGCGGCCACATATATATGGAACCGCACTGAGCCACACAGTGTACCTGCGATGGAGATCCAAGACATGACGGTGCGACAACCGCTCATTCTCGAAGGGCGTGATGAGCTGTTGGCATACATCACAATTTCCAAAGCTGCCAAGTCGCATTCCGCCACGGTAGCCATCAGTACGCGGTGCTACGCTGGAGACGACATGGGTCATGAGGCTATTCATGCACAATGTGTGGTTATCTTCGGCGACGGAAATGAGTGGATGGCGCAATGGGCGAAGCAACAATATCTCATTCAGAACCGGATTCATAGCTTGAAGACAGCAGCGCAGAAGGGAGAGATCCACAAATTGAAGCGCAGTATGATCTATAGGCTGTTTTCAAGCTTCGTCAAGTATAGCAAGCCATTCCAAGGGATGGATGAGGTATGGATGAACTCCGACCTTTTCGAGGCTGCAGCCCAGATTCGATTTGCATCAATCACGACGAACAGCAAGTTTACCCTCTCCCCCCATTGGCTTGACAGTCTCATACACCTTTCCGGATTTATCCTTAATGTGAGCGAGGCCATCCCAGAGGATACGGTGTATATCTCGCATGGCTGGAAAAGCATGCGCTTTGCCACTTCGATTTCGGCGACCGGGCATTATCAGGCATATGTCCACATGCAGGAGTCGCAAGCATCTGGGGACAAGGATGTCATGTCGGGTGACGTATACATTCTCGAGCAGGACGGCAATCGCGTTATTGGCCTTGTGACCGATGTCGGATTCAAGGCAGTCAAGAGGAGGCTTTTGGATGTTCTGCTGCCTTCAACTCGAGCAGCGCTGGCAATAGCAAAACCTGAACAAAGAAAATCGCGTACCTTAGAAGCTGCGGATCATCCGAGAACTGATGAAACCCCCTTTGCAAGACTAAGGGCCTGCATCTCTGATGAAACAGGGGTTCCAGTGAATGAGTTGACTGAAAAGACTAATCTGGCCGAGATCGGGCTTGATTCTTTGCTTTCCTTTGCAGTGGTCGCCCGGTTGCAAAAAGAGCTACAAGTCGAGATCAGTAGGTCAGCACTTATCTCTAGTAAAACCCTTGGTGATCTCCGCCCGTACCTTCAGGCGAAAAAATCAGGCGATGATGGCGATGAACAGGTCGACCAAAATTCTTCGGAAGAAGGCACTGGGATCCTCACACCGACAACGAGCATTGCGAAAGAGCCCACAGACCTTTTCCAGGCATTTAAGTCCGTGATTTTGGTTGAGAGCGAGGTGGATCCCTGGGATGTTGTCATCTCGGGCACGAACTTCGCTGATCTGGGTATCGACTCCCTACTGGGTCTCGCTATCCTCAATGCTTTCCAGAACCAGAGCGGCTGTAGGCTTCCTCACTCGTTCTTCTCAGACTATCCGACCTTTGCAGACGCCGAAAGGTACTTCCATTCCCGGTCGTCGACATCGCTTCCGAGATTTCCTCTGCCAGTCGGCATCTCCCAAGACAAGGTACAATCGCCGGCCGCTGTCTGCCAGTCTGTACAGTTGCAAGGCGACTCCGCATACAATGGTCCTGCTTTATTCTTGCTTCTAGATGGATCGGGCTCAGCAGGGTCATATGCCGGGATACCTGCTCTGGGTTCTGGGCGGTATTCCGGTCTCCGCGTTTGGGGACTCAACAGTCCCTTTGTGAGATGCACCCAGCCGTTCGATATTTCTTTAACCTCAATGGCCAAGGTGTATGTCACCGAGATTGTGAGATTGGATCCTAACGGACCATATTTGCTAGGTGGATGGTGAGTTGAGTTTTCCACTCTTCATCTTCGCTTTGGCGGAAGACTTCCTATACAACAATAACCGTCACTCGATCTGTTTTCTATTTTATCTCGACTCTTCGTCTCTGTCAGGAAACACCGTTGCTAACATGGACCTTGTTTATCCCCTTACAGGAGCGTTGGAGGCATTCTAGCCTTCGAAGCAGCCCCACTTCTCCGCGAGCTGAACAGAGTCGTGCAAGGCCTTTTCCTTATAGACGCCCCCTGCCCTGGAACGATTCCACCTCTGTCGCAGGAAACAATCCAGCTACTTGCCCGGCTTGGGCTCATCACCAGCAAAGAATTGCAACCGCAACCACGACCGCAACTGCAGCAGCAGTGGCGGCGGCCCGGGCGAGAAGAAAGCATTCGTGCGCATTTCATGGGCACCATTCAGGCGCTAAAGCCATATAGTCCCCTACCAATCAGGGAGGATGACGTTGATGATGCACCACCACTGCCCAGATGTCTGACTCTTTGGGCGAGCGGTGGTGTATGGGAAACCATTGAGAAAGCCAAAGGCGCAGCAGCAGCCGCCAGCATGCGGGTGGCGATAGGAGATGATCACGATACTGCTACTCCTGCTCATCGTTGGATCATGGAGAAAAGAACTACGACTGACTTGGGAGGTGGTGGTGGGTGGGAGGCGCTCTTACCTAGAGTTGACGTAGAGGTGGTATCTGGAGACCATTTTACAATCATGAGATCGCCACAGGTATGTGTTTCGTCTAGGGCAGAACAGAAAAAGAAAGAGAGCCATGATTAGAAAGACTAAAAACCCCCCGAAGTCTTTTCGATCCGAGAACAAAAAGCGTGGGACAACTTATACTCTTAATAACGAGTCATTTGTTTCATTTGCTTTCTAGGTTAATGAAGTTACGAAGCTTGTGTCACATTACATCGAGGAATTCTTGGACTAGGGTAATATCTATGGTACTGCGTGTTCAGTGGGCGATCACTGAGTGCACTGCAGTGTATACGAGTTGTAACCACTAACAACCTTCCATATATGATAGCTTCGGGGGTGAGTCGATAATCAACCACTATTCGAGGACTTATCAAGCAGACCCTCCTTCCGTTTTACACAAAAGTGATTTGCTTTGAGCCTGCGGTATTCCAGTGCAGTAGGTCCAGTTACTATGATTCACATATCAATGTATGAGGCTTTCCTGCTAACTCGAAAACCAATCCACTTAGTCAGACGTATATTTCCCCGAGGCAATCAGGCTTGGGATTGTGCACGAATTCCAGTTTTGGGACTTGTCGAACAGGATCTCGATCGGCCCGTTCGGGGGATACAGCGTCAGGCGAATTCCACCTTCACCGGATGGCATGTAAATTCCCGCTGAAAACTGTTTTCCTGTTACACCTGATATTTTCACAAGTGCAGCAAAGTTTCTTGGCCCATAAGCAGTGATTCCAGATGCGACTGCTGCGAGTGACGGTTGTCCAAACAGACACTTGGCAGGAGAGTCCGAGTCCTCCGAGTCCTTAACCTGGCCCCCACCCAGGGCTGTTAACTCAAAGTCGCTGAAACCATCGCCCCAGCATTGAAATGTGAGATAGTTGCTGATTTTCGGAGATTCGGAGTACAGGATGCCATGGACTGTGATGGGCTCCGACTCGGGCCCCAGTGTGAGACATTTGAGCGCCTTGGTCAAGTCGTCCCCCCGGGGTACGCCAGAACGACTAAGTAGCGTCCCCAACGCTTCGACCTCAACGCCAGTCACGGCGGAGCTTTTTACCTCGTTGATTGACTTGGCCCATTCCTCAAACAGCTGCTTATCGCCGGGTTGCCGTTGGAGAATCAAGGAGCTTCCCCGGTCCCCACCCGTCACGCTGGATGCGGTTCTCCGTTCCTTTTGGTATTCGCTGAAGGTCGATGTCTTCTCGAAACTGGCGCTGGCGCCAAAGTTCTCCCCGAATTCGGCATTCACGTTGGCCCGGTACTCCTCCTTGCTCTTGAAGGCTGCGTTGCGTGTCTGAACCTCCAAGCTGAAGCGGCAGCCGTACTGGCATCGACGGATGACGTGCGTGCCATAGGTATTGAAGAATACTCGGTACTTCTGCATGGCGGTCTCGTCGTTCTCCGCAAAGTCCGGTAGCTCGTCGACTGCTGCCAGGAAGTCTGCGTTCAGGCTGGCCAGCTCTTTCCCTCTTGCAATGTGCAGATAGGTGTAGAACTGCGATTGCTCGATCGACATCAAGGCATACATCGAACTCTTGTCGAGGGTCGTCTCATAGCTGTAGCCCCCACCCACCTCCACCGACATGGCCGCATACTTTCCCTTGGCGCTGGCGTCGGCCTTGAGCGAGTCGACCAGCTCACTTCCCGTTTGAACCTCCACGTCGTTGATCCTGGTCCCGTTGCCATTGCTCACGAGCTCGACATTGTCTCGGATCGAGACTTTCTCTTCGATACCGGGCACGGAGACTTTCTTGGTCGTGGCAGCCAGGTCGAGAATGACGTGATACTTTCGGTGCTTGAGGACATCGTCGATGTCGAAAATATTCGGGCCTGACCCCCTGTCGCGTCAGTGGATGGGAATCCTAGGTTGTTAAGGAGGCCACTTTTTTATTTAGTTAGTTACTCACGCTCCAGAATGTTCACAGCGGATCCAAGAAGATTCTGGAACAGCAATTCATTATCGCCCGCATCAACTACCATCTTGGCGCCAGATGATGGTTGTTTATGGTTCAAGATGTTTGTAAAGGAAAGACTGAGACACGAGGTCGGGGATTTGGGATTCGGTGACAGACGGATTGGATCCAGGGAAACACCACAGCCGGTTTATATGATTTTCGTCCTGCCCAAAGCGGGCCGAGGGGCGTCCAATAACACTTTCCCAGCTTGTCGCGATGAAACTATGAGTATTCTGCACTTTCAGCTCCGATCTCCACAGGAAATTGATGGAGCAGCTGCTCTTCTTCTGCTCGGCTCATTGGATGTAGACTAGGGGTCCAACAAGCTGAGGGAAGTGTTACATACCTACCCCACTGGGTGCATAAATCGCGCGAGGAAGATTTCCTTGTAGCAGAGGCTGCAAATCCCTCGCTCAGCTGAGTCCACAGCTGATGTGAAAGTGGGTCATGCTTTTGTGTACCCAGTATGTATTGTACGGGTAGCGACCCAGCTCAGCTATGGAGTGTACCGAACCGATTGCCAACACGTCGCATAGTCGAGACGATACTGTGCGTGTGCAAATGTCGATCCGTCGGACAAATCGGTGGACTCACCGTGTCGATCTTGTTCCCCGCTACCCCCGCTAACTTAGACTATTGGTCTACTCGGTCATACTCACAGTTCTTGGGGCTTGATTTTCAGCTCGCGCCTAGCTTCAGCTCAGCCACCCCAGCTTCAGTAATTATCAGTCTGCTTGATTTACAGTCTGGGTCTTGTGAAGGTGGTGGCCGGTGGCTCCCGAGGACTTTGGGGTTGAAGATGGTGAGATTGATACGGACTATGGACTATGGACTGCGGGCTGCGGACATTTCCTCAGTCTCGTGCGCCATGTAGACTGTCGGAGTTACATATACATGAGCAAGTATGGTTAAATCACTGAAAACACATACTACACACATGGAGGTAGTACTTGAGTACGGCGGCGTAGAAGCAAACGCGCGGTCATGATGGATGATACGAGTCGCCCACCGTAGTACGGCGTTACTTGAGGACATCTACTGTACGTGATCACAATCGAGCAGCAGAGATCGGACGGCAAGTCGACCAGGTCAGTGGGTCCGGGAAGCCCGTGGATTTCAAGGTTGGTTGGCGCTCCGGAAGTCTTATCCGCCCCGGACCGACCTTCAGTAGATCGTCTACTACTCCGTCCTCTTTTTTTTTTTTTTTTTTTTTTTTTTTTTTTTTTTTTTTTTTTTTTTTTTCCCCCCCCCTTTGAGATACTTTGATAGCTTGTTGTTGCTGTGTATAGGCTTGACTTAACTTGGTAGGCTGTAGAGTATCAATTATTCTCGATCTATAAGTTTGATATAGTAGCTGTACTGTACTGTACCTATGCCGACGGACTTGTGGTGCGATATGCGATTACCTTGTAGTGATCGCCGGTTATCAAGGGAAAGTGGACTTACACAAACAAAACTCCTGGGTTTTCTACCTCACGACTCTAAGAAACAGAGCCACTCCCCATGATACTTAACCCGTCGAAGCGGGATCCGCGGGAAAGTGCAAGGCAAGGAGTGATGGGAAAGAACAAAAGGCATATATGACAGCAAGGAGCCTAGATCGATATTTCTAGGTGTAAGAGGGGGAAATATTGTTCTTGTGGTTGGTTGTCGCGGACGAGCCTGGTTATTTCTGTAGAGTAACAAGCAAGGGGATTTTCTTAGCTATACTATTCTGGGTTGTGGTTAAAGAGAGATACCACCCTTACAAAAGTGATGGTCTGTTAGCTTGTATTGTTGTGATTTAGTCCATACACAGTTAAGACGCCTGATGCTAGTTATGGAGGAAGTAATAGCAGTTTCAATAGAAGCGTTCTAGAAATATGTGTAGGCCCCCAGTACAATCCAAGAGTAGCCAGAGCAGCTAGTGTGGATTTATGAAGTAATCAGTAAGTACCTCATCTGCTTCTACAAAGCAGCAGCACCTGCCACAAGCAAGCAGGCAGGACTTGCAGTAAAAAATTCCAGTATTATAACTACTAGAATGAGGATCCGAAATAAATAATAACCACCGTCAAAGTCCAAAAATAGCCCATTCTCGATGGACACGCCACCATAGATTACAAGCCAATATAAAAACCACTTTGAGTCGAAAAAAAAACAATCAAATATATACATCGCTGTGCTAAAGTCCTCTCCCATGATCAAAGTCCCAAAATGCACAGTTTCACAAAGAAGTGGCTGGCTACCCGACTCCCATGACCAAATAAATAAAATCAGATGGCCAACATAGAAACAAAAGTATACCCACCTCCAACGAGGCAATAGTCGTTGGAGATATAAGGGTTCAGTTAAACGATACACCTTATTTTAACAGGGTGGTGAACGATCAGGCTCGGGGGCCTGATTCGTCCGTTGAAACGAACCGGGCAAAGGAGACGAAGGTCTCTTCTTGCCGCTGTTGAACTGCGCGGCGATCTGGCTCTGGCGGAACTTCTCGAAGGTCTCGGAATCCTGTTTTTGCGCCGCCCAGAGCTCGTCCACCGTGGTGCCGAGATCCTTGAATGTCTTGGCGGCGTTCACACTCTCAAAGTTCGAGCGCATTTGCTCCACGTGCAGGCGGTCGAGCTTGTCGCGCAGAGCCGCGATATGGGATTCGTCGAATGTAAGAGACGACGGGTCATCGTCCGTCGCGTCGAAGGACGGGCTAAGGAAATCCCGCCGCAGATTCTGGCCCAGGCGGTGCACGTGGCCTTCCTCGTGGGTCATGGCGCGCGAGTGCAGGGAGGTGATCGAGCTCGCCCGGGAGAGGCGGACCGCGTACTGGTGATCATCCTCGTCGTCCGCGGCGGCCTCGCCGTCGCCGTTCGCGGCATTGGGCGGTGTGCCGTCGCCAGCGGGCGCTCCCCATCCATCTTCGCCAGAATTTTGGGAGCTGGTTTCGGGGAAACTGTATGGAATTGCCTGCGGTACAATCCGCGTCTCAGGATATTCGTCTTCGAATCGCTGGATCATCCTCTGCAAGGTGAAATCCAGGAACTGGAGACGCCCTAGTGAGAATAGAAAGTTAGTGCGGGTTGCGGAACGAAGGGAAGGGACAAATCTTACTGTAATTGTTATCATTGCCAGCCCGATCTTCACGTACGAGGGCCGACTGAATACGGGTCCGAATGTTGCGTGCAGATTCCAGGAGGTTTTTAGACATGTCCCGAGGCTTCCTAGTTACGAAGGACCGTGATTTCCGGTGTCGAGGTGTCGCTGTGCCACTGGGAGGCCCAGATTGGTCCCCTGGCAAAGAGCGGTCGAGATTACCAAGGCAGACACCCAATGCTTTGACCACGCCGGTACCACCGATAACATAGTCTTCATCAGGCGCCGGCTCGTCGTCCTCTTCAACGACTTCTTCTCCGACACCATGGCCAACGATGTGCTGCAGAATTTCCGGAACATGCACGGTTGAGCGTGTAGCCGAAATGTCGAAAGAGTCCGAAAGCTCGACCGCCATGGCACCTTGTTCAAGATTTTGGAGAGAGTAGGCAACGATTTGAGATGCCAGAGCCTTGACAACTTCATTGTTCTCCGCAGTTGGAACTTCAATGTCGACAGCAATAATGGTGCGAGATACGCGCACGGCTGCCATCAGCGAGGCATAAACCGCGCACGCTTCTTCCTGGGTCGCAGGATCAGTTGCCGAAGCCAGGGCCGTGATCAAGGGATTTTCCAGGATGTTGAGATGGCATAGGCTCGGGCACTCCGGCAGAACCTCGGCTAACGCGATAGTCTGATCAGGTGACAGGTTCACATCAGCGAGATGAATCCGCTTGAGCGCAGGCATTTTCGGAAGGAAGCGCCTAAAGGTTGGCAATGCGTCGGGCTTGACGGTGAACAGGTCCGGGTTGTGTGAGAAATCAACAAAGCGCAGATCAGGCAAGCATGCCAGCTCCTGCAGCAATGGATAGACCGCAGTGGGCGTGAGCGAGCAATCAGCCAGACTCAGCGCATAGAGCGGGTGGACTTCAGAGACAGCAGATGTGATCAAGTCAAGGTGATCCCGAATCGGATTTCCGCCCAAGTCAAGACCCTCGCATTTTCCAGCCTTCAGGTAGCGCACAACATGTTCCAAGCTCTCCCGTGAAAGCCTGTTGTTGGCGAACCCAAGTCTCCTCAGACCTACAGTGGTCGCTGCATCGCAGATCCGCTGGGTATCCTCGATTGTCGGGTCACATTCACTGAGGAGAAGTTCCTCAAGATGATCTCCGCCATACCGTTGTGAGAGCGCGTTGGCGAAGACAGCTGTCAACTCGGTGGAGGCTGTTGTACAGTTCCCAGGCTGGACTGCCAACTTCCCGGAGGAAGTAATAGGAATAGGTACCCGGGGAAGTGGGATGCCAGAGAGATCAATGGCCTTCAAGGACTTCGAAAGGTGGACAAAAAGACAGATATGAAGCCATCCCTCCGTACCTATTTTAGGATTGCCTTTGAGTGACAACTTTTCGATGACGCTGAACCTCTCTTCCTTTTCCACAGACTGGACCTCTGATCTATTGCCCCTTTTGCGTTTGCCCCACATATGCTCAACCGTCCGCGTGGAGAGCAAAGCAGCAAGAATAGACCGAACCGGATCATCCGTCAAGGCACACTCTTCCAGAATAAGCTTTCGAACCGGAACAACAGCCAGCCAGTCGCAGAACGTAGCCATGTCCTCAGATGTCATTGGGAAATTGCTCAGGTCAAGCACAGCCACGGTGCCCGGAGACTCCGCCAGAGTAGAAGACGGCTTGGATATCTCATCCACTATCCTCTTCAGCACGGGCGTCTCACGTAACTGGCAACAGCGCCGATATATGCGAACAGGATCCGTAGTCGGGTGACTTTGTGTCTTGGGACGACTTGTGCTAGACGCAGGTGTCCGAATGCCGTACTCCTCGCCGTCCGCTGTCAATTGCATAGGGATTGTGCCATTAGCTTCTGCCTGTCTCCGCCTCCTTTCTCTCCGCTCCCTGCGCTCCTCCTCTGATCTCTTCTTCTTCTCCTGTTTCCTGGTCGGTTCTTTGCTCTCCCCGTTGGGCGTTGATTCGGCGGCGGCTGTGTCAGTCGAACCCGTG